GAAACATAAACTCTCTGTTCAAAATTCTGTTGAGTGCAATTCTTCAATTGAGAAAAATCAAGTACAAAAGAATAAGGGCCCCTCAAAGACAAGATTCATGGGCTTATGGAATTCGGGAATTGAAGAGAGTAACCCGCTGTGACAAAACAGTAAAAACAAAACAAAATTAAAAGTACCTTCAATATTGCTATGCATTGAAATATCCAGACTAAAAGAATAGAGTCTCAGAATTATACACAACGTATGCAATGGAACTTGCTTGGTGGATTGGCTGGGTAAATATGTTATGTTGGACTAAGATTACATCACTAGAGGAAAACTATGTGCCCCTTGGTTCCTCCTGCACCTGGAACACAGAGCTTAATGGGAAAACTGGTATTACAGAGATTTCTAATTTTTATGATGAATATTTGGGGGAAGACAGAGCTTCTGGTACAATCTCCTGTACACTGGAATGCTAGGATTGCACATGGATTTATAAAATCCAATTTCTCTCATGTCACATTCTGAGAGACTCTGGCATTACCATTGTGCCCCAGCTCCACTCACATTCAACCCACGGTGCCTGTCTTCACTTGTCCGCTTTCACATGAGGTGAGACAGCCTTGTGCTACATCACTGATGCCATCACCAGCAGTCCCTAGTCATTCTTCCTTCAGGGAACCTTAAAAGTACTCTTCTTATTCTCCTGTAATGACCTGTAAATGTGCCTGATGTGAAAAAGCACCTCATCCTGGTCCCAGAGACATAATTTGGAAAAAAAACTTCCCAAGAGTCACCTGGTGAGGCCCCCTCCATGCCTACTGCATCCAACTGGGTGTGAAGACATATCTAAGTGCACTACTGTTGGGCCACACCTCAAGAAGTTCCCCCTTGCCGAACCGGTTTGGCTCAGTGGATGGAGCGTCGGCCTGCGGACTCAGGGGTCCCGGGTTCGATTCCGGTCAAGGGCATGTGCCCTGGTTGCGGGCACATCCCCAGTGGGAGGCGTGCAGGAGGCAGCTGATCGATCTCTCTCATCAATGTTTCTAGCTCTCTATCCCTCTCCCTTCTTCTCTGTGAAAAATCAATAAAATATATATTTTTTTAAAAAGTACCCCCTTTACACA